ACACACACACACACACACACACACACACACACACACACACACACACAGAGGCTACTGAGAATCTGGTAACCCTTAAATAATTTTATATTCTAATGACAATCACAATAGCATCTTAAATGTGTTTGGAAAACACCCAGGACCAATGGTGCCCATGAGTCCCTGCTGAGGGCAAGGCCCCGACTGGTGGATCACTTGAGTTCTGAGTTTTCTGCACTAAGTCTGGCTCCCATGAGCCCCTGTAAGTGGGGGACTTCCAGGAGGGGCGTCCCTAGGGATCCCAGGAGTATGAATTGGCCCAGGTTAGAAACGTATCAGTTAAGGCTTCTATGCTTCAGTATTGATATTGAACCCATGACTGGCCACTGCACAGACAATCTGGGCACAAGAGGGAAAACCAGGCTCAACAAAAGAGATAAAAATGGATGAATAGCGATAAATGGGAGAAGCCGATTATTTTATTCAGACTACAGAAGACATTTTGCTCTTTCTCACAGATCCCTTGTAATAACTCCAGTCTTCCAGAGGTCCACAGATATTCCAGTAACCTCATTTTACCGATGAGGAAACTGAGGCAAAAACAGATGAAATGGCCCGCCTCAGCTCCCACAGATAGGAAGTAGCCGAGCCTGAATTCACACTCTAGAGCCAGACCCTTAGTACCTCCCAGAGAAAGTGGCTGTTTTGTTGGCATCCCTCCCATGTCCCAGGGGGTTGTTTTATTTCTTTAAACTGGGGAGTGTTGATGTTTGGGAAGGAGCAGTGCTCTTCCTCTCCAAGCATAAATGGCAGTCAGAAAAGCCCTCACTGTAACTTTCTGGCAAAAACCTTTTTTTTGGGATTGCCAGGAATTCTCTAAAACTATAAAATGTCAGATCTGGAAGGACCACAGAGGTCACAGACAGGGAGCCCAGGGCCCCACAGCCAGGGTCAGAGTCAAAAAAAAAAAAAAAAAAGCACGGTTCTCTTCTTTCACTTCCTTTAGTCAGCATCTCTGCTGCTCATCACACCCCTGCCCTTCCATCTTTAAAAGCCCAGATCCACTAGACATTAAGGAATGAAGAATGTTTTTGTCTCCCAGGGAATAACCTGTACTTCTCTCATCTCTCAGAAGCCAAGAAAATGTGGTTCAGGAGGAAAGATCAGGTCTTTTCTCCATCAGGGTGGAGGGATCCAGCCCCTCTAGGGAGTAGTGTGGATGACTTTGTGAATGCCACTCACCCTTTTCTCCTTCCTGACTGCAGAGCTGCCCCCACAGCGCTGGCCAAGCCTTGAGCCCCTCCAGCAAGGATGGGAGAGGGCAGGACGGGACTGGACCTCTGACCGTTTGTAAGACGCATTCCTCTAAGGCGAATTCCCGTTCAGTCAGCTGTGATGTGCTTCTATATACAGCCCACACCGTTTCAATGATGGTTCGTTTCCAGCCCTAAAGAATCATCTATGATAGAGCTCTCTATATTGTCAAAAATATTGCTGCATTTCAGTGGAGGAATGGAAGATCTTTAGGTTCCCTGTATATTGTAATTATTTACAAAGCCCTTTGAGGTGGGCGTTTTGCAGTGAAATGGAATGTATTATTGTAATTGCCAGCAGAGTTTGTAAGTACACCTGCCCTTGATTCAAGGGGGCACCATCTTGTGGTGGTGTTTTTCTTTTTTCTTTTTTTTAAACCACCTATCACCTCTATTCTTTCACTCCTTGGGAGCTATTCACTGAGTCTGTGTGACCATTAGGAGTAGCATTGTGCCTCCAGATTGATTGCATGATGTCCATAGCAACTCCTTTGCCCTTCCCACCCCCAGCCCTAGCCATGAATCTGGAAACTGCCAGCGGATGGGGGTGCATTCTTCCAGGCAGAAACCTGGGTCTGTGTGTGGGCCACGTTGGGGTGGGTGGAAACGGACTGCCAGCTTCCTGCTTGAGATAGATAGGTACTGATGCCAATGTCTTAAAGTCATTTCTCAAAAATCAAAATTTATTTACCCCAAAAGATGAAAGTGTGTTAAGGAATTTTCAGCTCCCACTCGGAGCAGCAGTTGAGTGTGACTGCCGCATCATCATGGAATGTTGGAGTTGAATCCGGAGCACTGTGATCTCTGCCTCCCGGTCACCCTCAACAGCCAAAGGGGCAGGGAGGTGGTGCAGCAGATAGAGCAGGCAGCCGAGAACTAGGAAGACCTGGGGTCAGATTTGACCTCAAACACCGGCTTGAGGGTCTTGGGCAGTCGCATCACTTCTGTCTGCCTCAGTTCCTCAACTGCAGAATGGGGATAATGATGGCACCTGCCTTGCAGAGTTGTGAGGGTCAAACGCAATCATATTGGCGAGGTACTCAGCCGCAGTGCCTGTCACATGTTGTTCAGTCATTTCGGTCGTGTCCCACTTTGTGATACTGGAGTGGTGGGCCGTTCCCTTCTCCAGCTCATTTTTACAGATGAAGAAACTGAGGCAAACAGAGTTAAGTAGCTTCTCCAGGGCTTTACAGCTAGTAAGTGCTTGAGGCCAGATTTGAACTCAGGTCTTCATGACTCCAGGCCCGGCACTCTGTCTACTACACGCCCTAGCTACCCCACGCCTGCCACATAGTGGATGTTGTATAAGTGCTTATTCCCTTCCCCAGAGGTGACTGTAGGCAATGCCATCACTTTGGGAGAAACAGATAGGACAACATAGAGATCTTATAGCCATAGGACCATAGCATTTAAAACCTTAGAGGTCATCGTTCCAACCTGAGCTCTCCCTTTACAAATGAGAGACCAAGTGACTTCCTTACATCACCCAGGTAGTCCAAAGCATAAGTCCTACATAAACATCAAGGTGTTTGGCATGCACATGTATATACACACAGACTCTTGTATTTGCAGTCCAGTTTTGTTACATACACGCACACACCTATCTGCAGTGAGAGTGCTCGTGCATCCAGAACTTGGGAAGGTTTAACATTGCAAGTAAAACATCCTAAGTATTCAGGACCAGCTTTGAGGGGATTGGAGGGCTCGGCGTCTGGTTGCCCCAGTGACTATGGTCTTCATCCCGCCTTTCGTTCATTCTGGTCTCAAACCTGAAGTGCTGACGGGGCGTGGCTCTGCCCACAGTCCTTTAGCCCTTCTCTTTTCGGCCCCAGACCCGCCTGCGGGTGCCTCACCTCCTCCCACACAGCTCAGATGGTCGCCTTCCCGCACACCTGCCCTTCCTTCTCTGTGTGGCGTCATCATTCATCCCGTCTCCTGCATTTGTAACCTAGAAGTTATCTTTGGCTTCTCTTCCTGAACCTCTCCCAACCACTCGTTTGGGAAGGTATCTCTTCCACTTCCAAAACCTGCCTCCAGGCCATCCCCCTTCCCCGATGCCCGCCGACTCCCACCGCTGCGTCTGTGCATGGGGCTCAGTAACCTCCTTACAGATCTCCCTCGCCCTCCACCTCGGTCCATCCTTCTGATCACCACTAAGGTTGTTGTACGCGCTCTTTAGTTCCACAACCTTCAGGGCTCCCGAGTCGAGGTCAGACTCTTTCTGACATGTAAAGCCTTCTGTAGCCTCACACCAGTCTCCCCTCCTGGCCTTATCTCGTATTGCTCCCATCCTCACTCTGTGCTTCCGCCAGACTGGCCTAATGTCTACACCCTCATTCTGAACTGCTCTGTGCCTTAGAGGGCCCCAAATGCCCCCCTTCCCCTTTTTGCCTAATGAATTCCTGTCCCAACCTTTAAATTGAGCACATCTAAATTTTAGCAACCCCTTTAGATTAAAAGCACCTGGAAGTCAGGACCATGTCTTGTCTCAATGTTGTGCCAAGCACATCCCTTCGCCTGGAAGAGGCGCTGAATACATCTTTGTGTTGGTCATCTCCTGCATCACAAAGCAAGGAAACAACTGGGATGTAGCTGTTAGCACATCCAGCTAGAGTTGGTCACCTAGAGTTCTTCCACCTTGACCAGGTCCTTGTCTTCCCCTCTGAATGTGGAGTTCTGGCTTCCAGCTCCCAGGAGCCTTTCCCCCCTTAGTTATGGAAGTGGCAAGGATGAGGCACCAGATTTTTTTTTTTTTTTTTTGGACTAGGCAGTGGGGTTAAGTGACTTGCCCAGGGTCACACAGCTAGTAAGTATTATGTGTCTGAGGCCGGATTTGAACTCAGGTCCTCCTGAATCCAGGTGGCTGCTGCGCCACTTAGCTGCCCCAGAGGCACCAGATTTTTAAAGCCATGTTTTGTGTTCTTTTCACACAGGGCAATCCAGAGCCACCATGATTCCCCCCAAGCACCCTCGACAGCCAAAGGGGGCTGTGGACGATGCCATTGCTTTTGGGGGAACCACAGAGCAAGAAGTGACCCGCCCATCCCAAGCCACACCGCCCCCCCTGCCAAAGAAAACGATCCTGAGGGCCAACACAGAGCCTCTTCCCAAAGATCTGCACAAGTCTCTGGAGAACAGTCTGTGTCTTCTGGCCAACCCCACCTATGACATGGAGGCCCACTGGGACGCCAGCAGTGGCGGCTCCTCCCTTAGCTACGAGCTCAAGGGCCTGGGGAATGAGTCCTGTGATTCGCTAGACAGGCCCCTGCCCAAAGACCGACGTGCGAGCGCCACAGCCCACAGTGTCTCCAGCCTGACCACTCTAGGCACGCGGGAGCGGTTCTGCACCAGCACTGAGTCCCTGACGGGGCGGCGGGCGGGGGCGCCTCAGGGTAAGGTGGGCAAGAGCGCCCAGAAGCCCCAGAGAACGGCGCTGTACCGAGGCATTGAGAACCGGGAAGAGGTGGTGGGGAAAATACGCAGTTTGCACAGTGACGCTCTGAAGAAGCTGGCTCTCAAATGTGAAGACCTCTTCATGGCTGGACAGAAAGACCAACTCCGTTTTGGGGTGGACAGCTGGTCAGACTTCCGGCTGACCAGCGATAGGCCGTGTTGTGAAGCTGGCGATGCCGTCTACTACCCGGCCTCTTATGCCAAAGACCCACTCAGCAGCTATGCTGTCAAGGTAAGAAGGCCTCAGAATCTGGCTCTTAGGCCTGCTACGGGCCCCTGTCGGTGGAGGCCACACGGAAGTGTCCAGGCAGAGGAGTGTGAGAAATCCTCCCTAACTCATGACATGTGCGCCCCAGGAAGTGCTGCTCACACGTCCCCAGGCGTCGTACGAGTTCAGTGACCAGGCTCATAGGGCCTCGCTACAAGCTTACCCCCTTATGTAAGTGTAACAGCAGCTGGTATTAGTAGATTGCTTTGAGATATGCAAAGCACTTTTATTTCACTGGATCCTTACAATAACCTGGAGACAGGTGCTCTGATTATGCCCATTTTGCAGATGAGACCAATGGTCATGCAACTAGCAAGTTTCTGAGGCAGGATTTGAATTCCCCTCCCCAAAGCCAATTTGTGTGCTCTATCCTCCATGACACAGTGATTAAACAATTGAGTATTTATTAAGTATCTGTGATATGCCAGTCACTGTGCAGGGCACTGTGGATACAAGGAGCTTACATTCTAGGAGCAAGAAAACAAATACATGCGGATATAAAATGACCGAATACAAATATAGACAAAATGATGAAATGCAAGGAGGTTTGGAAGGGGGCTGGCAGCAGTCGGATCAGGAAAGGCTCCATGCAGAAGGTGGCACTTGAGCCTCATCTGAAAGGAAGAGAAGGACTCTTTGAAGCGGAGGTGAGGAGGGAGGGCACTCCAGGCAGGGGACACAGCCAGGGCAAAGGCCTAGAGACAGGAAATGGAAGGTCATGTGTGTGGATCAGGGAGAAGGCCAGGCTGGAGAGGGGGATGGGGACCAAATATTTACCTTAGAGTCATAGGAAGCCACGGGGGTTGATTGATAGGGGAATCCCGTGGTCAGATCTGTTTCAGTAACATCACTTGGGAAGCTGTGCTGTAGGAAGGACTGTAACGAGAGATGAGGCGAGGGGGCCGATGGATACAGATCAGAGGTGATGAGGCCCTGAACGAGGCCGTGAGCTGTGTGAGTGAGGAGACGGAGCTGGGTGTGAGAGATGGAGGAAAGGAAGGAAGAACAGCTTCAGCCCTCACAGTCCTGGGCGTCGCTGGGGAGAGTGAGGAGGGGGAACCTGCTAGGGTGATGCCCCAGGAGATGGGTGGGTGTGCCCACCACAAAGGGAAGGAGCAGGAGCATCTGCAGAGGAAGGAGACTTAAACCCAGACAGAGAATCTGGAGGGGAAAGCGGGCCTGGAATTTCACCTTGGAGAATACCCCCAGCGAGAGGGCGTGATGGCGGACAAGCCAGCAGGCTTTAGAGAGCCGTCTGACCGGTCAGTGAGAGTCAGACGAGGCAAGATCACGTCACTGAAGCCCAGAAAACGTTGGTCATGAGCGTCCAGGAGGATGAGGACTGAGCAGACAGCCCCTCGGTACCTTTGGAGAGAGCAGTTTCACTCGACGGGGAGGTCAAAACAAAGCCCGATTACGAGGGGCTGAGGAGTGAATGAGAGCAGGGAAACCGAGGCAGCAAGTGTAGGTAGAGTTTTCAGAGCATTTGTCTGAGAGAGGGAGAAGAGACGTAGGACTTTTTAACAAAGGGGAGACTTGGGTGTGTTTGAAAGCAGCAGAGAAGTACATGGTTGGTAGAGAACTCAGTCGGCCGGAGAAGCCGAGAGGGCATGGGGTCCGTGGTTCATCTTTCGCTTTAGTCAGTTTTTTGCTCTGCTCTTCTCTTTTACAGATAAGGAAACTGAGGCAATTGGCAGAAAAGACATGTCTTACCATTGCTAAATTCTCTACCCTTCATGCCACAGCACCAGTTTGCAACTTATTGGTGCAATTTAGGATACGTAGCGATGGCAAGTGATAGTGGCCTAGTAGCTTAGCTTCCTTTATGTTCTATCCACTGTGTGATATAGCAGCAAAATATGAAGCTGAGATCTGGGAGCCCTGGTTCCTAGTGTTGGCTTCACTTCTAACTGGCAGGTTGGCTTTGAATAAGTACCTTCACTTCTCTGGGCCTTACTTTGTTTGCCTGTCAAATGAGTACTTGATTCAGTTCAGCACATATTAAGTGCCTGCTGCATGCCAGACACGGTGCTAAACTTCTGGTATGATGCTTCTGACTTCCCCTCTTCCCTGACAGATTTACAGGCAGGGGAGTATAAGGGTCAGAGACCCAGATTCAAGCTGAGTCTCTGCCATTTGCAGAATATATCGTTGGAGGCAGTTCACTTGGCCAGATCCTCAGCTTTACCATCTGTAAAATGGAGCTCGTACTGCTTGCTCTGCAGGCCTCATTGGGTGGTTATGGGGATTAAATAATATACTTAAAAGTTCACTGCAAATTATAAGCACTGTCCATGTAAAGCAGAAACGCCATTATTATGTGAAAGAGCTTCAGAAACTCTCAAGTCAATCTGCGATTCATCACGGCAGGGCGCCCCCTCCCTCTCACCCACCCCACACTCACATTGTCTCTTCTTTTTTCTGAGTCCCCAGAGATGACCCGCTCAGTGTGTGCTGCAGGGCCTCACTCCTGTTCTGAGTCTCACACTCAAGTACCCAGCTGCTGCCTTTCAGTCTAGATGATGTGACTTTTTTTTTTAAAAGGTGCATGTTTTAAATACCAGAAAATTCTGCTCTATGTGATCTCCAGCATTCCCACTCTGAAGCCTTATTACAGCATAGGGGCAACCCTGGGTTCTTGGAGGTCAGGTGAGTGGAATGCGAGCTCTGGGGAGCCACCAGGCAGGAAAGGACCAGCCTCCCTAAGGGCAGAGAAAGGTCAGCTGCCAAGGGATGGATTTGTTGGCCACAAGAACTCATCAGGTGGTTTCCTGAACCATGATAGGTCCTGTCATGGTGGTAGGGAGTGGAGGGGGGATCAGAGGGAGGGGCGAGGGGAAGCAGCATATGCAAGACTTTTCCAATCCCATTATCCCTTTTCATTAATTCTGTTCCTTAGCTACAGATTGATTAACATAGCTAGCTGATTGTTACATCTGAATCTGGTGTAGAAAGGACATATGCTATGCCAAGCACTTTTAACATGTGCTGTGAATAATCACATTACCTGTCAAGGTAGTACACATGTTGGTACCAGAGTCTCTTAGCTTCATTCTCTGCAATTCTCACACTTAGACATTTTTGTAATCAAGAATGTTGGAGTCAGAAAGGTCCTCAGAGAGGATCTAATCTGATCCCCGCCCCCTCTTCCTTCTGTAGTTGAGGGAAAGTGCCCAGGAGGTGAAGGCAATGGCATGGCCAGTTAACATCAGACCCAAGACTTGTGCCTTGGTCTACAGACTCCCAGGCCTCTGGATTTTCTATTGTACCATGTGCTTTCATGGTTAAATGACAGTGTTTATAAAACACTTTGAAAACCTTAAAGCCCCATAGAAATACCAGTTATTATTTAACACACACATTAAGCCAAAAAGCAAACTGCGAGAGAGGTTGCTTCTCTGTGGGTAATGGAACATATTGCTAGGAGAAAGCATTTTAAGGTAATGTTGACACCGAAAAGCTGCCCCATCGATGCGCAGGGTGATGGCGGCCATCCATCCCACACCTTTCCTGTTACAAGATCACAAGTGGAATATGGGAACCTATTTCAAGGAGGGTCCTCAAACTATCTGTTCTCTCAAAACAATTGAGAAATAGGGCTTGGATAACATTATGTATTATTGCCTGGCAATCTTGTCTCATTACCAAATCAATGGTCTGGTATTGATTTTTTACTTGTAATGATGCAAAAGTAATCTACAAAGAACAGGTGGCAAGTTGTTATAGAATGTGAATTACCAGCAGGTTTGAGGAAGGATGTGTTACTTAAATGCTTAATGTAACTCTCTTTGATGACAGCGCCTTTGGGCCTTTCCAGAAACACAGGATAAATTACACAACTCTGGAAAAATATTAGAAAGGCAGCATTGCCTAGTGTGTTAGAAGGATGGCCTTGGGAGGCAGGGATACTTGGGTTCACATCCCGCCCTTAGCATTTATTTACTGACAGCGTGACCATAGGCAAGTCACGGTACGTCCCCGTGACCATTAAATCGTAGATATGTGGTAGTCTGCACTGGTGGAAGGAATTCCTGCATTGACAGTCACAGGTCCTGCTGAAGCAAAGGAATGTTGAAAGTAGCAAAAGCAGCCCTGAAGAAGGACAGAACAGACCAGCCACTGGTCAATTCACCCATGCTTTTGTCCTCCCTCTATTTTTAAACAAGGGCTTCCATGCTAGTGATAAGATGGGCCCTAGCTCACGTTTACTCTTGGCACTCTGCGGGATTACAAAGGATCATGTGCTTTCCTCACAATGCCAGAGCAAGTATCATTTCCCCATTTTACTGATAAAGAAACTGGGATGGAGAACAAAAGTCACTTCCTCCAGGCTCCAGGCCGGGCCATATTGGATTCCAGCTCATGGGCCTCCCTTCTGGGTGTGCCACAGCTGCCCGGCGGGCAGGACTTTGACTCAGACATCAGCAACCCTCAAAGTGTTGAAGACATTTCGTAACCTTATTTATCACCAGGGAGTATTTCCCGTAAAACACAGACCTGCGGCAGCAACTGAGCACTAAGAACTTTGCTTGCTGACCTAAGCTGCTCAGAGAAATAAATGCATTTTTGGAGAAGGGATTATGCGCCTGGACTCTTAGGTCTTCCATCAAGCTTTAGGTTTAACATGGATTTTGATTATTTCAGTGCCAATATTCCCCTTCACAGCATTGCCTCACCCAGTGGTGCTTTGTGATAGTCAAGACCACGCTCCCCTCACAGCCAGAGAGCAGAACGCAGACTCCTTGAGGGCAGCCCCTACCACACTTTTGTCTCTGTGCCCCAGGGCCTTCCATAGGGCCTGGCACATAGGAAGCACTTCATGCGCTTCTCTGCCGTAGTTGGACATTATTTAGGATTTATCATTCACACTTGTTACTAGAACCGGGGTGCTTTTAAGTGTGCAAACCTTCGAGATTACCTAGTTTCGTCTCCTCTTCTACAGATGAGGACACTCACACCTGGAA